GTCATGCCCTAGCCTATCTACCATGAAAATATGAGTGAAATCGAATTTTCGACCCTTGCCGAGTTATTTTCCATTTTTATGGACAGGGACTCTTAACTACTTGTTTAAAATTATCCATCAAATAGTTTTAGAATTTCAGATTCTGCTAATATTATTACATGAAATTTTCGCGGTACGTTAATTTCGTGAATTTCGGATTTAAAAAGATCGCGAAATAAAAGTGACGCGGAAAATAAGTGTCGCGAACATAGCATGACGCGAAAATTAAGTGACTCACATTATGTTACTGTTGCGCTTTTGTTAATTTTGAATTTATAGTACCTTCGTTAAAGTCGGTTTATTTAATTCAAGGACATGTTAAAGTAACATTGCCAAGGAAATAAATTCTGTGTTACTCAAAAACGCGCAGTGAAAGTGATTGAAAATACAAAATTTTCGCAAAATCGCGGAATTTAAGTGTCGCGAAATAAGCCCACCTCAAAATTGCGAAATAAACGTGTTACGAAAATTTCATGTAATAAGGTAATTACATTAACAGTTTGTAAGCTGTTGAATTGAGCACGCAAGATCAAGATTTCGAAGATTCGACAACACAGTATCACAAACTGTGTAACGAATTGGACGCGACAATCTGCAAAAGTGATCTTCATTTCAATTTTTGTATCTTTAATTTAGCTTTATGTGTATCTCTATTCATTTGAATCTCAATAAATTGAAGAGAGTACTTTATTCTGGGATTCTAACGATCACTTGTAGCGAAAGTGAGTACAGACAATCCATAGCCTCTGATTAGAAAAGAACCCCATACAACTAAGCATTTTATGATTTAGACTTGCTACACTCAAATTTGTGCGGTGCAAAAAACCGCTAAGCTTAAAGGTTTTCATTAAGAGGTATCACCTAAGCTCAAGAGTTTCTTCAAAAGGAGCATTAATGGCACGCTAAATAGAATAAGGAATGAAGCAAATTGACTGACAAATAAATACATTTGCAAGGCCAAACTGTATATTTTCTGTACGAAAAAAAAATTGACTGGACTTTTAAAACAGTTCAGCTTTGTAACCACATAACTATCAAGCAACGAAAATAAGTCAGTACAGATCATTTCTTACCATTTTTCTCTTCGTCATCTTTTTGTCCCGGATCGTTCAAGTCACCCTCTTTAATAAGGTCGCCACTAGTCTTTTTGTTGTCTTTAAATCCATTTTCAATTGAAGGACTTTCAACACCCTTGTGTATCCCTCTGAAATACAATATTTTAATATGCTATGTAAAATTCTGTACGAGATTGTTCTGTCTTTTATCAGTCAGGCAGAGCTGAAGCTTATATTTTTTATTCAACGAAACAGCAACATTTGTTTGAACCAGCTATTTTTCTGTTTGACAAATAGTATTTTTTTCAATTTCGAGTATATGTCAGAAAACTAACAACGATAAAGAATTATCATTGTTGTAATTAAGAAATTGAAAGAGTGAAATTGCAAATGTCAATGCATTTAGGTTTTTCGACGCTAAATTCACTTAATAGGGGCTAGGAGGCTACTCACGTTGACCATTCATGAGTAAAAAATATCTCAAAGACAACGTCGGCAGGCTATGTGCACGGACGAAAATAATAGCAAATCATTTCATTTATAATGTAGCCTTACCTCCTGGTTTCGTTAAAGGAAAACTCCAAAGCGGTATCAACATCACCACAAGACAGAGAAGAAGCAAAGCGTTTGCCTGCATTTTTTGAGCTTGGCAATCTTTGTATAATTCTTAAAATGTTGGACTAGGATTATGAAGTTTTGAATCTTTACCTGGCAATTTATATGGTTTTCTGGGGTAGGCGTCAATAATTACAGAGACACAGTAGTTAAAGATATTTGCGACTGTTTGTTGTGAGTGCCCGGGCGAATCTTATCTTTAAGTGTTCCGTTTTAAAATCAGACGAGAAGTTGCTATATCATCAAAGGAAATCACTAGTGCATTATAATTTTAGAAACATGCATGGCCACCGTTAGCTGAATACTTCATATCGTCATGCTGTGGGCTAAAATCTTGGACGTGATATTCGATGTTCTTTGTGAGTTGTCAAACTTCTGCCAACTGATGTGTTTTCCTTTTCATACGGTTACTAATGTAGATCAACAGTCGCTTGCTGTTTCCCAAAGCGTACCATGTACTAAAAAACACCGTAGTTGAGAATTGCATAAATACTGTTGGTCTGATTGAGCAGTGACTAAAGAGCCCAATAAAACAGATAGTCAACGGAATAAGGAGTGTGTTTCATTGATTAAGAAAATCTGAGACATTGTTACATTGGAAATGGAAATAACTTTACTTTATGTACGAGTCTTCTTTTGAAATAGAGAACTGAGGACCTTCGACATATGACTGAAAAGCAACAGCAATTTTAGAAACACATTTTTAACCGTAACCATTAGAAAACAGGAACACTATATGCCTAAAATAAATATTCCTTCAAAATCAATCAAATTACCACTTTCTCCAAGGAAACCAAAAGCATTTTGGTATCTCAACATGGTTAACATTGCTGAAAAAAGTCTGTTAGACTATAGTGAATATTTTTCTTTACAAATTTAAAGGCTTTATCCATTGACTTGAACTATGATTTTGGGACAGCTAAGTTAATGACATAAAATAATAAATAGCAAGCCTTATGTTACAATATAATCAGTTCACCGGAAAGGAAATGCGTAATAGTTTGCGTCTGTATCAAAAAATATAAAATGGTTGAGCCATGTGATTCCAAGTCTAACTACATCAAGTATACTCATTTACCGCGAAATATCGTACGTCGTCTGACGTACGATATTTCGCGGTAAATATGGATGACCAGTCGCAAACGTGGCACCTCAGCCAGGTAATAGGTTCCATACAAGAATTTGAGATAATTCTCAATAGGTTGGGTTTGCCTCATGACCTTTCCCCTAAATAGCTCGAAGGACAATGGATCTGTGAGAAACATAGAAATCACTTTGGTAAAAACTGGCGCCCGCGACGCACATGCCAGTACCCTTTGCATTCTGGTCGGCAGAAGCAACTAAAGACAAGCAACGCAGTCAGCCCTGACACGTCAAGGGAAATAACTGGTATTTATGGGAAGCATGTTCCAGCGGGATTCCGTAAGTCTGAAGAATTGTAGATATGGCATAAATCAACTGAAAGTGTCAGGACAAAAGGTTTAATGAGTAGAACAATGGCTGCGCACGTGCGCTGTAAATCTTTGCACATTCCTTTGCCGTCCTCTGCACAACAATAGGGACCTTACGCAAAACACGACGGCAACGGCAACGGCAACGGCAACGAGAACGAAACAAAAGGTTTAATGAGCAGAACAATGGCTGTGCGCGTGCATTATAATTCTTGTTACATTTCTTTGCCGCCCTCTGCAAAACAGCAACGTGAAATGACCAAATTCTACGATGTCTGGACAACGTGAACCACAAAGGCTAATTTTTCGTATTTCTATTTGGAACTGAACGCTTTCGTAGCATATTCAGCAGGGGCAAGTTTTAATACCGACAGACACACTGGATAGTTCCAAATAAATGCGAAATTCCAAAGTAAAATAGAAACGCATTTTTTACTAGCCGTCGTCCTCGCCGTCGCCGTCGTATGTGCGTAAGGTCCCTAACAACGTGAAATGACTAAATTCTGCGCATTTTGGAGAACACGAACGACGGTGGCTTATTTTTCGTATATTTATTTGGAATTGGACGCTGGCACTACATATTTAGCTTGAGCAACTTCTGAGACCAATAGACGCTCTGAACAGATTTAGACAATTTGGAAATT